CAACCCTCGGTGTTGCGCCCCCACCGCGCTCAGCCAGAGAGCGGGAACCAGTCTCCACATGGGATCTGAATCCTCCGAGGGAGCGCCACCGCGCTCCCAAGCGGCGCACTCTCCAGTGCGCCACCGTGCGGCCCAGGAGTGCAAATCTTTAGGGAATGAGGAAGCGTGACCTGGAGGTTGGTAGGCATCAACAGAAAGGGTATTGGGAGGTATAATCTGATAGCTGTTTTTTAAAGGGGCTCTCTGTGTGTAATTTTCACGTACCTGTGTGATTGACTGTGTTCTCCCACAAGGCTATAAGCTGCAGTTAGGCAGGGACGTCTTTCTGACTGCCTTGGCTCCACACGAGTTAAAGAATGCAGTGACAGATTGCGGAGTTTGAGTCCACACGTGGATCAGGGTCCTCACATAGTGACTGTGCTGCTTGGCTGGTGAGAGCAGGAGGCTCACAAAACTCCCACCCATCTTGCCCTTGCAGCTGACATGGGCCTGGCCGCCTGGGGGCGCAAGGCCCTGGACATCGCGGAGAATGAGATGCCGGGCCTGATGCGCATGCGGGAGATGTACTCGGGCTCCAAGCCACTGAAGGGTGCCCGCATCGCCGGCTGCCTGCACATGACTGTGGAAACCGCTGTCCTCATCGAGACCCTAGTCGCCCTGGGAGCTGAGGTGAGGTCTGCATATGTGTGACCCAGGAGAGTCCCTTACCCTCTCTGGGTTCAGCCAGGGAAGACGACGACTGTTCCAGGCTGGGGAGAAGTTCAGGGTGGGGCCCACCTCCGGCCAGCAGGGGCTTCTGTCTCCAGTGCTGCTACCCTTTGTGGTGAATGTTCTGCAGATTTTCTCCCTGACTGCGAAGGTAGCTTCTGACTGCCCTCAAAACATCATCCTGACTGAGAGCTCTGGAGGAAAAACTCAACCCCAGTGTCTCAGTTATGTAAGGGCTGGCTCTCATTGGCCCTCCTGTGGTCATGTGCCTTCCCTGGACCAATCATGGCTGCCAGAGGATAGAGTGTGATGATTGGCTCAGCGTGAGTCATGTGTACCAATGATTGACAGCTCTTTCAACAGCTCTGGGAGTTAAGGAGCAGAGCTGTTTCTGAAGAGGGGTCAGGACAGGACAGCCTAAAACAGCAAAGTAATCCAGGGCTCGGTCCTTGGACTTGTTATTTCTTTTTAACATTCACTCCCTTGGTGGTCTGATTTTATGGCTTTAAATACCATCTATAGGGCAATGACTCCGTAATGTATGTACTAGCCTGGACTTCTCCTTGGAAATCCAGACTTGTACATCTAGGTGCTGATGGGTCATCTCCACTTGGAGGTCTCCTGTGCATCTCAAGCTGAACACATCCAACACACTCATGATTTTCTGCCCCTCTTCCTCCTATAGTCTTCCCCATGAAAGTTAATAGAAACCAGGTTCTCTCAGTTCAAGAACCTGGGGGTCATTCCCGACTCCTCTTTCTCTCACTCCAGTAACTAATCCTTCAGCAAATCCTATCAGCTTGGCCTTCAGAATATACACAGGATTTGACAACTTCTATCACCACCACTGCAACCATTTATTTCTTGTCTGATGTCTTCTTCAGCAGCTTCTTCTCTTGTCTGTTTGCTTCAGTGCTTTCCCTTCCACATAGCACCAGAGTGATGTTTTAAAACCTTAAAACCTGAGCCAGATCTTGTCACTGCTGTGGTTCCCATCCATTCACCCAGCCTATGGTCATGCAGCTGGCTGGTCCTAGATCTCAAACCTCTCATCTCTAGCTCGAGGGCTTTCCCCATCCCTGCCCTGTGAACCTGGTGCTTCTGAGCCATTCATGACTAATGGTCCTGTCTTGCTGGCTCTTATAGGTGCGGTGGTCCAGCTGCAACATTTTCTCCACCCAAGACCATGCAGCGGCTGCCATTGCCAAGGCTGGCATTCCAGGTGAGTCCTGCATATGGGATGTGTGAAGGGGCTCTTCTCCCTGTTTGCTCCACTGACTCCTACAGCAACATGTTTCCTTTTGGCAGGGGAGAGGAGTTGTCATGGTCACAGAATCCTAGCCTAGTGACCCATAGGAAAGAGCTGCTTTGTCCCACCCATCTAAAATTGTAGGGAAGGTACCTATTTATCCATCTTAAGCCATGTAACCAGGAAAGGCAGGATCCTATGATTGGGAACCACATGATACAGAGGAGGGGAAGTTGTTTAAAGGAAGGATGTAGGTCCGTTTCCAAAGAACTGCAGAGGGATACAGGGCAGAAAAAGGGCCCCAGAAGCCCATTGCCTAGGGTATGATGGGCTAGGGGGCTGGGTAAGGGCCAAGACTAAGGAAAAAGGACTTTCTCACAAGCTGCTGGAGAAATGGGCACATGTCTATCGGGCTTGAGGAGGCGAGTGGTTAGATCTGATGGTGATTAAATAGGACATTCAAGATTCCTTCTAACCAGCCAAGAGGGGAGAGTGGGGGAGGACTCTTCCACAGACTGACCAGGACTGAATGGGCATTTTCTCCACTCCTCAGTCTTGGCTAGGCTCCATGGCCCTCTTCTGAGAAAGGCCTTATTTTCAAGACCATTGTCTGTTCCAGTTGGGGGGAGCAGTAGCTGGCCCTTTGTCCTTTGCTCACAGGAGGCTCTTGGGAGCCCCACACCTGTGTCCCCGTCATACCATAGACAGGAGGAGTATGGGCTGGCAGTCAGTAGCCCTTGGTTCTGCTGCCTACTCTGGAATGCCATGCTGAGTGACCCAGGTACATCCAGCTCCTCTCTGGGCATCTTCAGTGGTGGTGATTGTAATACCTGCCTCACAGGGTTTCTATGAAGAAGAGTGAGATGGGACGTGAAGCAGGTAGAGGAATGTCTGGCACCAAGAAAGTGGTACACATGTGGTAGCTGCTCTTAGTAATTTTTTGGCTAGGCTTTGCTTGAGACTAAGGCTCTTGGGCTCTCAAGGCCTTCCAGTGCAGAACAAACCTTAGATCCTCCCTTGTGGGTCCCACTGAGTAGGAAGCATTGTGGAACACACAATGGCAGTAGGCTTTGTGGGTGGGAGGCCTGGCCACTGTGGTTGATGGCCCAGTCCTTGGGGCCTACACAGAAGGGAGTGGTTAAGGAAACAATTATTTCCACATACCGATATCTGGGGGGCCGTATTTGGCTTCTGTCTCACTTAACCCATACTATTGTGAGCCCCATTTATAGAGGAGGAAACTGAGGCTCGGCGGAGGTCAAGTGATTTGCTCAAGGTCACACAGCTGGCAAGTGGTAGAGCCAGGACTTGAACTTGATCTGTCTGGCTCCACGTTGTGTTCTTACCACTGCTGAGTCCTCAGAGGGGTTGGAGGTGACTGGGGATGGGAATTTGGAAGGAGATAGCATTAACTCTGCCTGGGAAGTTCCCTGGAGCAGTTGCCAGTGGGGAAGGCCAGGCCCTGATGTGCCACTCATCCTCCAGTGTTCGCCTGGAAGGGTGAAACAGATGAGGAGTACCTGTGGTGCATCGAGCAGACGCTGTACTTCAAGGATGGGCCCCTCAACATGATTCTGGACGATGGCGGTGACCTTACCAACCTCATCCACACCAAGTACCCGCAGTTGCTGTCGGGTGAGCAGGGGGGACAGGTAGGCTGGGTGCTGGTGACCTGCCACATGAAGGCAGCAGGCCTGGCAAGCCTCCCAGCACCTCGAGCAGCAGAATTTGTGGGAGACAGTTGGACAACTGGCTCCTGCCGACATGCTGGGGGCCTGGCCTCCTGACTTCTTCTAATGCGACTGAGGGAGGCCTGGCTGAGATGACAGCCCAAGGGCAGGTACAAGGCCAGGACTAGGAATAGCTGGGGAGGAGAGTAGTGATGAGGGTTACAGAGAGTGCAGAGGCCCTGAGGCAGGAAAGGATTGACTGTTCAGGAAACAAAGGAAGCCATCACAGCAGCAGTGAACACGGGAACGTTCACTGGGGAGTACTGTATGATGTGGTTGGTGCTTTAGTGAAGGCCAGATATATGAGGACCTGACGGGCCAAGAGAGACAAGTTTGGCTTAATGCTCAGAGCTAAAGGAAGTCATTGGAGGATTTTGAAAATATTTATCTGAAAATATACATGTTAAAAATTGCGGGGCCAGCCCGTGGCTCACTTGGGAGAGCGTGGTGCTGACAACACCAAGTCAAGGGTTCGGATCACCTTACCAGTCATCTTTTAAAAAAAAATTGCTGCTGGCTGCCGTATGTAGGATGGGCTGTGACAGGGAGACCAGGCGAGAGATGATGGCAGGGACGAGGGCACTGGGAATGACAATGGAGAAGTTGGGGGTTGTTGGGAAGTAGAATCATTAGGCCTGGTGATGGAGTCCATGCAGGAGGGTGTCAGGGTATCTCCTCCCTCATGCTGGCCTGGGTGATTGGGTAGACCGGGGTCAGTCACGGAGGTGGGAACCCAGAAAGAAGAGTGGCTTTAGGGGACAAAGATGAGGAATTTGAGTAAGTTCAGGTGTGAAGCTCATTCCTTCCCCACTTGTTCAGGCATCCGAGGCATCTCCGAGGAGACCACCACTGGGGTCCACAATCTATACAAGATGATGGCCAACGGGATCCTGAAGGTGCCTGCCATCAATGTCAATGACTCTGTCACCAAGGTAAGCCGATGGGGCAGTGACAGTTCCACTGTTGGCTCCCAGTTCAGCTCCAGAGTAGGCCTCTGAAGAAGAGTACCCAGGAAGGCCAGGCTGGGGACATGAAGCCCTAACCTGAGGGGATAGTGGGATTATAGACTGAGTTAATAAATGCATTAAAGAATGGAAGAACTACACAGTGGGTCTCAGAGCTGGATTCAAGAGCTTTATGGTTTTGGGTATCAAGAGCTTTAACGTTAAGCAACTTCTCTGATGTGCAGTTGATCCCCGGAGAGTTTCTGGACTGGCAGAGAAAGACTTGGAGCTGATCAGAGTGAGGGGCATGTGGGGGCATTGGCTGGTGGGGAGGAGTCACAGAAGGTGATCAGCCCAGGCTGAGATACTGAGTAGGCCTGAGGCACCTGGGTCCTGTGGAACACTCTGAGGCTCAAGTGGTCCTGGCTCCAGGGCCTTGCCTACCCCCATTGCTCTCTTGTGCCCCTCTTCTTTCAGAGCAAGTTTGACAACCTCTATGGCTGCCGGGAGTCTCTCATAGATGGCATCAAACGGGCCACAGATGTGATGATTGCCGGCAAGGTGGCAGTGGTAGCAGGCTATGGTGACGTGGGCAAGGGCTGTGCCCAGGCCCTGAGGGGTTTTGGGGCTCGTGTCATCATCACCGAGATCGACCCCATCAATGCCTTGCAGGCTGCCATGGAGGGTATGATAGGGCGAGGGTTGACCATTAGCCACTGAGGCAGGAGGAGGGACAAGGCCACTGTAGATAACCCACGGCCACCTCTGCACAGGCTATGAGGTGACTACCATGGACGAGGCCTGTCAGGAGGGCAATATCTTTGTCACCACCACAGGCTGTGTTGACATCATCCTTGGCCGGTAGGTGCCACATGTGGTCCTGGGGAGCGAGGGAGGGGGGCAAGCTTGGTACTGCTCTTTGTCCCTGACAGTCACCCATGGGCTCGGGTTCCCACAGGCACTTTGAGCAGATGAAGGATGATGCCATCGTGTGTAACATCGGACACTTTGATGTGGAGATTGATGTCAAGTGGCTCAACGAGAACGCCGTGGAGAAGGTGAACATCAAGCCCCAGGTGAGAAGCTCCAGCCCTGCCAGCAAGTGGGCACGTGCTCAGGTGCTACCCACCAAAGAGGGTAGATAAGGAGACTTTTGCAACCCGGGCAGTGGGATGGGAGGAAGAGGGCCTGGGTCCAGAGCCAGACTTGAGATGTCAGACTTATCCTGAGAGCAGCCAGAGTCCCCAAAGGTACTAGGCAGGTGAGCTGTACATGGTGAACTAGCTGTTTTAGAAAGATCACTCTTGCCACATGTGAAGAATGAAAACGAGGGGGAGGCTTTTAGAGGATGCTGTCATAGTCCTTGCAAAGGATGTGGGCAGCCTCCACTTGGAGAGTGCTGTGGATGGATAGAGTGGATGTGGGGACAGGATGGGAGAAGAGTTAAAAACATGCTAGGTCTCTGGGCTGAATAGCTGGGTGAAAAGTAGGCCTATTTACTGAACTGGGAAAAGAACAAGATTACAACGGGGTTTGAAACATGAGTTCCTCTGGGGTATATAAAATTTTATTTGGGTTATATTTATTGCGAGTTTGTTTTGTGTGATTATAAAAGTCATAAGTTTCTGGAAGACATTTTGGCTTTGAGTATCAAGGGCTTTAAAGTTAAGCAAACTCTTTGGGCAGTATCTCCTCCAAGAAATAATTTAAGTCTGTATATAAAAATGTTCATCACGTTTTTCAAAGGGAAAATACCCCACCTACTGTGGGGCACTTTGAGTTGGTGCCCATGCTATCTTTGAGATGTTGTATACAAGATACAGTAGACACAGAGGTGGCCAAAACCCTGACACCCACACGGTCAAAGCCATACCACCAGCCCAGCCAGGAGCCCAGAGCCCCGAGCCCCAGAGAGGCAGGCAAGTGCTTCCGTGAACACACATCCCTCATCCATATGCCCTGTCCCGCTCCCCTTGGGCCCTCTGCCCCAGTGTGGGAGTTCTCTTTGGGTAGGTCCTGTGCTTACGTAGGGGTGTCAGTTCCTGGCTAGGCAGAGGGTGCCTCCATCTCTCTGCCTAAGGGCCTGGCACTCACCACAGCACGGGGGAGGGTGGGGCATGCTTCCCTGAGAGCCAGACAGGCTGCCTTCTGCAGAGGCATCACAGGGCTATGTTGGGGTGATGGGCACCTCTCCCCCAAGCCGCCCTCCAAACCTGGATTCTGTCCTCACCCTTGACATCCTGACAGTCTTTCCAAAGTTCTTCCCAACTTCATCTCCTTTCCATCTTCTCCAGGATCTATACATTAGGGCGTCCTGGTTGTCCAGGACTGAATTGCTGAATTGTTGTCCCTGAATGCTCCACCACAGCTCCTGCTTCTGATCATTTGTCTAGATACTCCTTTTGTTTGGAACAAAGGAAACGGACATCCTGACAGTCTTTCCAAAGTTCTTCCCAACTTCATCTCCTTTCCATCTTCTCCAGGACCTATACATTAGGGCGTCCTGGTTGTCCAGGACTGAATTGCTGAATTGTTGTCCCTGAATGCTCCACCATAGCTCCTGCTTCTGATCATTTGTCTAGATACTCCTTTTGTTTGGAACAAAGGAAACACCCTTTTCTTTGCCACCTTCTAAGCCTCATAGCAAGGGACCCCTTTCCTACCCTACTGTTCAGGCATAGGGCAATGCCCACATGCTTTGTGCAGACCCCTAGTGCCCCACCCATAACACTGCAGTTGGAATCACGGGCTTTGGTCTCTGCCTCCACTGGTGTACCACGAGGGCGGAGTCCAGGTTGACTTGTCCCTGGGAGCGTCTTGTTTCAGATGTGTGTCGGTAAATCTTTGTCCAATGAAAGAATGCTTGATGGGCAACAGAGACCTTTCCTTGGGCCTATACTAGGCCTCTTGGAGTAGCGTGGAAACCTGGACTTTTGGGGCAATGTTTGGGAGGCAGTGTGAAGGGGGAGGGACAGCAAGTGGAAGGATGGGAGTGAGGAGAAAGCGGATTTGTATGTGTTCAGGCAGCAGGAGGAGATGGGGGATTGGGGGCATTGAGGCTGGGGTTTCCACTTCACATTCACTCACTAAACCAGGAATTCTTAACCTTGGCACAGTCACCCGGGAGGCACACTGCAGGCCACTTGAATAGGAACCTTTGAGGCTGAGACCAGGACATCCTTATATGTTAAAGCTTCTGAGGCGTGGTGCTGATAACACCAAGGTCCAGGGTTTGGATCCCCATACCAGCTAACTGCCAAAAAACATAATAAGGCTTCCGAGGTGATTCTGATGTGCAGCCAAAGTTGAGCGCCACTGCATTCAACTTTTAGTGGTGATTGAGAACATTAGATCTGGCCTCAGGCTGTCCAGGCTCAAATTGCAGCCACTTCTTAATGTGTGCCTCTGGAAAGTAACTTAACCCTGTAAACTTCAGATTCTTTATCTGGGAAATGGGGATGATAGCAGTACTTAAATCATAGGGTTGTTTTTAGGGTTAAATTTGATAGTTTTATGTAAAGGACCTAGCACAAGGCACAGGGCAATAATGGTAATAGTGATAACATTAGCTACTACTTACTGAGTAAATGGTATGTGCCAGTTGCTTTACATGTGTCAGCTCATTAAATTCTCACAGCAGAACTGTGAGGTCTGTAGCTCAGAGCTGCTTAATAAATATTGGCTATTGTTAATTGTCTGTGCCAGGCCCTGTGCTAGAGGTTGTTCTGGGGCAGTCCGAGCCCTTAAGGGCACTGTTGGAGGCAGGGAAGCCTACTGGACAAGCGGGTAGGGTGTGGCAGTGATGGACTGTGAGGACAGCGCCCTGCCAGCCCTCACCATTGCTCTGCCCACTTGCAGGTAGACCGCTACTGGCTGAAGAACGGGCGCCGCATCATCCTGCTGGCCGAGGGCCGGCTGGTCAACTTGGGCTGTGCCATGGGCCACCCCAGCTTTGTGATGAGCAACTCCTTCACCAACCAGGTGCTGGCTCAGATTGAGCTGTGGACCCACGCAGACAAGTACCCTGTCGGGGTTCACTTCCTGCCCAAGAAGGTATTCACCCCCCTCAAACCTAGGGTCATGTGTGTGACCCTGGGCTCCCCACGCAGGTCTTGCCAGTTTTTAAAGTACTTGTCTATCTGTCCCCCTAGACAAGGTCTTCTGTGGTGCAGAAATCACTTTCCCTATTTGACAGAAGAGGAAACTGAGGGCCAAAGTGGCGAATGACTCCCTGAAGAACACCCAGAGTGGCAGGACTAGGTGGGGAAGAGAGCATGGGCTCTGCAGTGAGACCTAGTTTGAATCTCAGCCTTACCACTTACAGGCTGTGTAACTGGAGCAAGTTACTTAACTTCTCTGTGCCTCCATTTCTCTGTCTGTAAACTGTAAAATGAAGGAAATAGTACCTCCCTGAAGGATTGTGAGGATTTCCTTAGATTGGGGTCTCAAACCGACATGCCCACAGGGATTGGGCAGGTAAGTGAGTGAAGCAGGCTGGGTGGGAGCTGAAGAGCACATGACCCAGGTAAAGCGGTGTGCCACTCAGTTCTCATTACCCTGGAGCCCTGGTCCATTGGACTAGGTAGGGCTTCTGACATTTCAAGAGAAGCTGGAGGGGCTGGCTGGTTAGCTCAGCTGGTTAAAGTATGATTTTATAACACCAAGGTCAAGGGTTTGGATCCCCATGCCTGCCAGCCACCAAAAAAAAAGAAAAAAGAAAAGCCAAGTACCAAGATCTTTGTATGAAAGAAACAATTTTTAAATATAGGCAACTTCTTAAACAGTTTTTGAAAATAACTGGGTGCATCAACTGGGACATGTGTATAAGAGGGCAGTCTACAGGATGCAGGTTTGTGGCCTTGGAGTAAGATGGTACGTCGCTAAGCATGGCACATGACACGCTATGGGTGTGTGGTCAGGGTAACCACGGTGATGAGGTCCTCTAACATCAAATCCAGTACTTAATACCCCATGCAACATGCCCATCCCCAGGGATCAGAATTGCTTTGTTTTAGTGCTGGCTCTTTTTGTCAGTATCAGAGGTGAACTCAGCTTTGCCACTTGTCTTGTCAGATCCTCAGTTTCCCTATCAGCTAAATGGTAAGAGGAGAGCTAGCTCTCCCAGCCTTTGGCTGCTGGAAAGGCTACGATGGGATCTTCATACCACCCCTTTATGCCTAGAAAGGCTGGTTCTGCCAATTGAGGAAGTAGTAGGAAGAAGCCTAGGTGTCCACTTGAGGCCTAGGCATCTGTGTCCAGGGCCAGCCAACTCCTTCCTCCTAGTCTCTCTGGAGCACTGTCTTGCTGGATCAAATATTTTACCCATAAGGATCTCAAGGGCTACCATGTTTGGTGTACCAGCCAAGTCCCCAGGCTTGTTGTGGGTTTAAAAAAAAAAAACACTTGACCCCCATCTGATCCCAGTTGGGAAAAATATGGCTATGAATGTGATGAAAAATTGGGCAGACCTTTGAAATCAGGCTAGGGTTGGAAGTGAAAGAGGCAAAGAGCTTGCCTCCTGTCCCAGCACCTGGCCCCATCCTTACCTTCTTCCTTCATTGCTGCCATGACATGGCTAGGGGACAGGGCACCCTTGGCTTTATGCCTCACATGCCATGTATAGGTGAGGGATTAGGTACGTTGGTTAACAACAATGACAGAGGGATTAGATACCTTGGTTAATAACAATGACAGAGGACAGCCAGCATTTATTAAAGTACCTACTTTCAACTAATCACTCTGAATATCACTGCTCTTTGTAATAGTTGTGAGAGATGAATGGTTGTTACATCCATCCTACAAATGGGGAAACTACGGTTTAGAGATTGACTTGTTCTCATAGCTGAGTGTCTGGCCAGTAGAACCTAGTTCTGTCTGTCCAAGTTGTTAACCATCATGTCACACTGCCTTCTGGTGTGGGGAGCTGGGAGAAGGAAAGGCATCCTGCGCTAGGTCAGGCTAAATGAAGGGACAATTCAGTGTGTACTCTGGGAGTTGGAGGCCTTCATTCTCCCTCTAGAAGTGACATGGACTTGGGGCTGGGCTCTGGTCCTGCCTTTGCCTACCTCTCCCATGAGCACATTATCACAAGGATAAATGCCTTTCCAACTTCCTAGGGGTGTTTGTGAGGCTCTAATGAGACAGTGGATGTGAAACCACTTGGGAATGTAGAAGCTCTGTGGGCTGGGCTGTGGTCAAAGGCTGTCATGCCATCATGGGATGGGACTTGGGGCCCTCAGGAGAGGCCCTACTCAGAGATAGAAGCTGAGAAAGTGAGAGCCACACCCAGAGTTGATCTTTATGTCCAGCCTCTTGGCTTCTTTTCAGGCTTCTTTTATGCATTTCAGCACTGATCAGAGTTAGAAGTTTGCTTTATTTAACCTCTGTCCTCCTCTGTTTCCATTCAGTCTCTTCAAAGCTGCCCTGAAGGCCATTAGCTGGAATGCTTGAGACATAGTTTGGGGCTTTGGGGCTAGATGGACCTGGGTTCAAATCCTAGTCCTCTTGTTCACTGAGTGTAGGACCTTGGGCAAATCATTCCGCATTTCCAAGCCTTGATTGCCTCATTTATAAAAGGAGATGGCAGTTTTTTATTAGTTAGGATCCTTTTTGGTGGCAAGTAATAGAAACCCAGTTCAAACCAGTGTGTAACAATTTAAACCCCCAAACTTCCTGGCTTAAAGCAATAAACATTTATCTCAGTTTTGTGAGTCAGGAGTTTGAGATCAGCTTAGCTGTCTGGTTCTGACTCAGGGTCTTCCATGAGGTTGCAGTCAAGATTTCTGACAGGGCTGCAGTCATCTGAAGGCTTGACTGGGGCTGGAAGATCCACTTCATGTCACTGTTGACAGGAAGTTTCAGTGTCTTGCCCATGGCCTTCTACATAGTGCTGATCATGTGTCCTCATGAAATGGCAGCTGGCTTTTCCCAGAGTGAGTGATTGGGAGAGAGCAAGGAGGAAGTCACAGTGTCTTTTATGACCTTGTCTCCAAAGTCAAACTGCATTCCCTCCGCTTTACTCTACTCACTAGAAGTGAGTCATTCGAGGGGTGGGGAATTAGGCTTTACCTCTTGAAGGAAGGAGTATCAAGTAACTTATGGATATACTTTTATCAAAAGAGGAACCAATTTAATAAAAAACAGAACTCTGTGGGGTATATAATAGAGAAGTCTAAGGTTCAGACACAGGATCCAGGATTCAGTGTCATCATAACTCTGTCTTCCTCTCTCTCTTGGCTCTTGTTTTCTCTACATTCACTTCACTTGTCAATTAGACTTGCCACTGGTGAGCTGAAACTAATAACCTTCCTGTTTAGGAATCCCAGTGGAATTGGAGCACTTCTGTCTGTACCTAGTATGGAAAATATGTCCTATCTATAGATAAATTGCAGAGAAGTATTTTGGTTAGCTGCTTGGGTTGGTGGAGGATGAGGAAGGAGATGTAATTGATGGTCCCACCAGAGCTGCTTGGAGGGGAGGATGTGGCATGGTTCCCTCTTGAGGGAGAGCTGGGCAGCCAACACATCCACTGAGCCTGGCTGTGAGGATGGGATAAAGTAATATGGCTAACACACATGGCAGATACCCCAAACAGAACAGTTTCTACCTCTGTTGGTGGCTGGATGCAGGTAAGGGGTCCCAGAGCATGGCAGTGATTCCAGGTCTTCCTGTGTTTCTCCCCAGCTGGATGAGGCAGTGGCTGAAGCCCACCTGGGCAAACTGAATGTGAAGCTGACCAAGCTGACTGAGAAGCAGGCCCAGTACCTGGGCATGTCCCGCGATGGCCCCTTCAAGCCTGATCACTACCGCTACTGAGAGCCAGGCCTGCCCTTCACCTTCCAGCTGCCATCCTTGCCCAGGCCCAATTGTTCCTCCCAAGAATGGCACCAACTTTGTGATTGGTTTGTTAACATCCCCCTTCGACTCCCTGGGGCTAGTCACTCAATGTCTGGCCTCTGCTGCATCCCTCATAGTGTTCCGAGTATGGCAGGGGGAATTGAGAGGCCCCTCTTCAAGCCCTGGTCATGATGGAGGCACAAGGGGAACATCCACGGAGAACCATGAGTTCAGGGGCTTTGGGACTGCCCAGTCAGTCCTTCCTTAGACTGGAAGTCATTAATGGTGGTCAGAAAGCCCATGCACTTTACCATCTAGGTCTTCACCTGGCCTATGGACTTTTACCAGTGTGCTTGGTTTACAAGTTCACTGGTTCCTCAGCCCAAGACAGTCGAGAAGGAACTATGTTAAAAAGCAAGGAGGAACTGTTGGAGTTTGAATGTTCCTGAGAGCCTGGGTTGGTGCTGGGCCTTCTCTTAAACCTGAGAACAATGATGTTGATACTTTTAGTCCCTGTCTTACAGGGTTTAGAATACACTGTTAAAGATAGAAACAAAAAATTTAGCCAGAACAGGACAAGAGAGGTGATAGGCAGAGGTTGAGAGGGACCAGAAAAACATAAAAGCAGACATAGATTTGCTACCACTTTGTAACATGATGGTTCCTATCACAGCCCTGGGTCAAAAAGAGATTAATTTGGTTTATAAAGTTTATATAATGTTTATAATGTTAAAAGAAAGCAGGATGGTGGGTAAATAAAAATTTTGGTGCCTAAAAAGAATTTTGAACTTTTATTATATAGATAATCCACTGCCAGTAATGTATGGCAATGAACAAGGGGTTATAGTCATGTAGTTATGAAGCATTGAGGACACAATGTGTTGTCTGCAGTGTCAGATGGTAAGGGCTGCAGGCAACCACTTAGGCTTGGAAGAATAGGTAAAGCAAAGAGGGAACCCTTATCTCTTCAGATGTGTCTCTTGTAAAAATAACCTGTTTTTAACCCAATCTGAGACTGTCATTTACTAGATGGATTTAACCTATTTATAATTATTATAATCCCTGTTTGTATTCATGTCATCTTTTTTTTACACTGAAGATCTTTAAAAGTTTACAGTAACAAAATATGCAATATCTCCTTTTAATGCAAACATCCTCTATAATTTTTTGTGTTCTTATTCATATTTTTTCTCCCCATTTTTTACCTCTTTGGATTAATCCAGTGTATCTTGGGTTCAGGGAGGCATGAGGGGCTAAAACATGCTCACTTGGGCTTAGATGCTCATCAGGGTGTCCTGCTCTTCAACAATTCTCACCTTTTTTTTCCAGAGCGCATATAGTTGAAGTTGTGTAGGTTACATGTATATGAGATGAGTCCACTGTAAATAACTTACAAAGTTTGGTACTTCAACTATTATTACTAATAGATGGCATAGGACCGTTCTCAAGGGATCACAACACCAGAGGTCAAAACAGGTCGAGATCCACTACCATACCCACTACCATTTATTGCACACCTGGCACATTTCTTACGTGTCAGGCATTGTTCGAGTATTTTATGAGTATGACCTCATTCATTTCTCATGATAACCTTGGGAGACTTGAATTCCAGTGTTACAGCAATAAACTGAGGCTGAGAGCAACCACGAGAGGGAGCTATTTTTTGTACTAGATAGGACTCTGAGACCAAAATCTAAACCCCTTCCATACCCACAGGCTCAGGTTTAGGAGGAATGGGACATGGTTTCAGACTCCCCAACACCAGGTCCCCTGAAGGCAAGGCTGCCACCAGAGAGAGCTTCTCACAGCTCCACCTCAGTTCCTGTGCCCATCGTGGCCTTCAGGACAATGACTGGAAAAAGAGGGGAAGGCTGCTAAATGCTTTACTTTGCACAGCAGCCATGCTGCTCCCTCCAAGGGGCCCCTGCCTGTGTGTAAGCGTACTCCCTCCAAGTCTCTTTCCTCCCAGACACAGAAAATACATTTCCAGATGTTCTCTCTGTGAGATGCCATGTAGTCTCCCTGCTTTTGGTTCCCTAGCAGTTCTGGTTTCTATTATCCCAGCCTTTTCCTTTCCTCTTTGGAGATGTCCTGTCAGTTCGCAGAATCTTTTCTTTTTAAAAACATACCCTCTCCTTTCACTTCTGGTCTCAGACTTACCTCTGATCTTGGGTCTGCTAATCTGTCACATGTGTGACACTGACCGGGTACCCAGCATGAAACATAACGTCTCTCCTTCCCCACTTCCACTCTTGATGTCCAAGCTCCCCCACTGAAGCTTCATAGGGAAGGGAGGAATTGGCCAAGGGTCTTATAGTATCTGGCCTGGCTCTGGATGGTGTTTTTCCAGAAAAGGGAGATAGGAGGATGATGCTTGGGAGGTTTTGTGGAGCAAGTAGCGTGGGTTTTGGAAGGAGGAGACCTGGATCCGCTGTTGACTTAACCATATTACTTGGGACAGGGACAGAAACACCTAACTCAGATGGTTGTCATGAGCCTTAAGTAATAACATGTGTGAGAGTTTTATGTCAAGTTTTAAGGGCTGTGTCAGGCACCAGGGGGTGGGAGGGAGCTGTTTTGAGGGCAGGGAATTTAGAACATTTAGAAGATACTTTAGAAAAATTATAAAATCTTAGAACCAGGAAGGACCTTAGTGTTAGAGCATCTGTAGAACAGAATCCAGTATTTGAATATAGAGAAATGGAGGTGCAGGTGACTTATCCAAAGCCACCCTGCAGGTCTGGGTGTCATGCTTTCCTCCATTCAGGACTCTTTCCTGCACTCTAAGCTTCATGCCCAACCTGCATGTGGCAGGCTGTGGTGGAAGGGCCCTGCTATGCTGGAGGTGCTGCGATCCCTTTCTAAGTCTTGTCAGGGACAGAAGTACTGAGGAACTTAAAGGGCTTGGAGGTAGCATGGACTAAAACCCAGGAAGGGTCATGGGGGCCTGTTTATTCTAGCAGGCAGGGGTCAGTTGTGCTTTAGGAGTCTAAGATTCCAGGAAACCCCTGGAGCCCAGATTCTCATCCCCGGAAACCCCAGGAATCCAGATTTTCATTCCTGATCCCCACTGTAGACTATCCCAGGGGACAGCTAGGAAACCTGCTTGAGGTGGTAGAAGCAGCCAGGAGTGCTCATGTGATCCAGGCCTTGTCAATTAGCTTCAACCAATTCCTCATCAATCAATTCTTCAAACAGGCTCAAGGACAGGCATGTGGCTCAAGCTGGTCCAGATTCAATCCCAGGATTTTAGGAGTTTGGCTAGAAATCTGGTGTGGTGCAAGAGTGACCCCAGGAGCTTACTCTGGGCTGTTTGGACCCAGTGGGAGCTGGACTTGGACTCAGATTCCCCCAGGACTAATAGCTTCCTTTCCCTGGCTGGAGGAGTTACAACCTCTCAAGGGTTCTAAAAGTCCCCAAGTGCTGGGCAGTGGGCCTTTCCTGCCAACTCTCATGAATCATTGGTACCTAAATTCACACTGCTTGGCACCCTAATAGGCTGATCACCTCCACTCATACTTGTTCTCATACTTGCCCTATTATAAGGGAGAGAAACAGGTAGTTGCAAAAATTAAAACAACACAAAAACAACAAAAAGAGGTAGTTGCAATGAGAAAAGACCTTGAATACAGGCTAATCTAATCCCTTTGTGGTCAGATGGGGAGGGACTTGCCCAAGGTCACACAGCAAGTGAGGGAAAAGTTGGGACAGGAATTTGGACTTCCTGACTCCCTATCCATGCCCTCCCCATTCCTCTCATGGCCTCTTGAACAGGTACTGACCCAAGAAAAGAAGGTGCAGCCCCTTCCCTCCAGGAGCTCCACCAGAAAGTCTCCACCCTAGGGGGTGGTATTGATAAAGTCTTCTAGCAGTAGGCTGAGGAGTCAAATGGGGAATCATCTTTTGGGGGCAGTTCTTGGGCTGAGTCTCCTACTAGGTGCTGGCTCTAAGCAGGCAGAATCTTCCCCTATACCTGCTTTCAATGGCCTAGTGGTTAAGAGCCTAGGCTTTTGAATGAGGTGGGCAGGGTCTGAATCCTGCACTGAGGTATGAGGTCTAGAAACATCACTCAGCCTTCCTGAGCCCCAGTTCCCTTATTTACAATAACACCTACCTCAAGAAGCAAATTGGTAGCCTAGGTATCATGCCTGACATGAAGTAGCTGCTCAATAGTCACCGTTAGTATGTGATGATCTCAGATCACACGGGTCTCAGGCAGTGAGCAGCAGTCCTGGGGACCCTGGCAAAAGGTAGACACAATCTCAGAGGTATCTGGGGAAGGGAAGGCATCTCAGGGTCCTCCAGAGGATTTAGTGAGGGCAGGGGACTCCATGATTCTAGTTTGTGTACAATTACTGAAGATTACTTGGGGTGCTCCAGTATAGCCGGGCCTTTCCTGGGGGCCTCTGTCAGAAGAAGATCAACTAATTCCCAGATTATTTAAGAATGGGAAACTGAGACTGCCTTGGGATTCCAACAGGGTAACCCTTGTTCCATCGGTGAGTCTCAGTGTCCTCTTCCCCTCATCAAGTTCCTCTCTATTTTCCAGATGCCCAGAGGTTGCATGCCCTCTTTCTCCCCATACTCCTTCACTATCTTTACTTTTCCTTTGCAACCTCTGACATGCATATGTTATGCAGAATTCCAGATGTTGATATTGGGATAAATAGAAAAAGAAGAAAAGTGGAACTATCCCCCAATGCTTATTAACGAAAGCCACTAGGCTCTACTTTTGGTTTAGGGAGGAGGAATCAGCTAATTCAGTGGCTTGTAGATGGCTCATCATCATCATCACCATTGTTATTAATTTTCCTAGTAGTTGTGTTTTTACTATTGCTTTGGTAGTCTATACAGCCGTTGTGTCCAGGAATTGTAAAGAGCTCTGGAAGGTGTGAAACCTTCAGGACTGAAATGAAGCTATTTCCTGGGCTCCTCCCCACACCACAAGGCACAATTATGATCATTAGGAGGTGCCATGTCCCAGACTGCAATTCTCATATCTAGCTGGGAGAGCTGGCAATTAGCTACTGTTTCTCTGCAAGCTATCAGTAGAAAGCTCCTTTCTGGAGTGAACATAAGCATTTGATGATTTTGAAGGATTTTTCCAATAAAAGACATTCCTGTCCCCCTTCCTGGCTCTCTACCTTCCGAACACATGCACCCTGTGTACCATTGGTGCATAGAAGGAGAAAGAGAGTAACAAGTCTACTCTGGACTAATCTGAGACTTCCTACAGATGGTTTGGCTAATTCAGTTCAAATCAAATACTTTTATTTACCTATCCTGTCCCTTTCAAGGAAATTAGCCTTGTAGTTAAATTCCTTTACAATGTTCCTTTTGTATGACAGCAAGTAATTTCCCAACAGTGAGTGATGATGCTAGATCTGTGGTTCAAACAGGTGGAATAAAAGCCAATTACCCAAGGGGCATAAAGAATAATTGCGATTTGTAACAATATATATGCTAGTAATACTGATTTGATCAACATATCTCAATGGTCAACCCCCAAAATATGTATAAGCGATTTTGATTCAATAAATAAAATAAATTATTTAAAAAAAAAAAAAAAAAGCCAATTACCCAGCCATCAAAAAAAAAAAAAAAGCCAATTAGGTTGGCCAATGGTCCACAATCCAAGAAGGGGTCTGAGGCCCTGAAGCCCTCTACCCCTCAGGATAGTGGAGTTTTTGTTTTGTTTTGTATTTTGGCAACTGGCCAGTAGAGGGATCAAATCATGGACCTTGGTCTTATCGGTACCACATTCTAACCAACTGAGCTAAGGATAGTGGTTTTTGAAGTATATTGTTCCCGTGGAACCATACGCTTTAATTTCTATTTCTAAAAACACTGAAGCCTTTTAAAAGATGTAATAAAAGCATGCATATTTAAATGTGCTGTGCACCAAATTTTAACACATTGGAAACCACCCGGACCAGATTCTAAAATAAACCTCTTGCTGTTTCTGTTTAATAGAAGACTGTTCTGAGGTCACAGTGCCATTGTTAAAACCTATTTGCAAGGGCCGGCCCATGGCTCACTCGGGAGAGTGGGTGCTGATAACACCAAGGCCATGGGTTCCGATCCCTATATAGGGATGGCCGGTTAGCTCACTTGGGAGAGTGTGGTGCTGACAACACCAAGTCAAGGGTTAAGATTCCCTTACCTGTCACCTTTTAAGAAAAAAAAAAAAAAACTTTTTGCAACAACTTTTCTGTGTGAATTAGAACTTTCTTAGTACTGCATAACCAAAACAAAAGATGAAAATAAACTAGTTTACTGAGGCTGATAAAGGAGGACAATTGTTAATCTGTAATCCCTGATTTCATATTTTTGTGTGCACCATTATAACATTATACTAATTTCAGACTACTTTAACAGGTATTATATAATGAAGCTCCCCCTTAAGACTTCAACTGAGGGAAGAGAATACTTCTCTTTAAAATAAAAAAATAATTGAAAACCATTGCTTCAGATTTATGTTGCAGAATTTGCAGGGCCAGAAGCATGCTCAGAACAAGTCAAGCCCTCTTGTAGCAGCCAGTTGTGGATTTTGCCCCCCAGCAACTGTATCCTATATTTTCTCTTGAAGAATTACCCCTGCCATGTTACAAATGGACTTTGTGGGCCTGTCAGTCAACAGGGACCATCCTTTCCTTTGCACCACATCAAGTCAATAAGACTCTCTCTCCTGGGAATTTGAATTCTTGAGAGGACTGAAGAGGGTGAGCTGCCTTATCCCCGTGGTCTTGCCCTGAAGACATTGTCCATTGGTTTCTGCAACTTGGTTCCTCTAGTGCCCCTCAGTGTCTTGTTCTTTCTGAGGCCTGTTCTGTAGCCTTTCCTTTCAGGTCCTCAAACCTCTCTAGTATACCAACTTCCCACCCCCTTAGGCTTAGACTAGCCAGAGTTTTTATTGTTTGCAACCAAAATACTCTGACTGATTTATTCTTCACATTGTAAATAGGGAAATGGTAGCCTCAAAGGTGACTTGTTCAGTGCCACACTATAACTTTGGGCACAAGGTTTAAAGCTATGCCCTACAGGAAGAAATAATTCTGAGTCAGTAGCCACAAAGGTGGAACAAATCTTAGGACAGAGTTCACCCTGTGTGTGCATGTGTGTGAGAAAGAAGGAGAGACAGAGAATGAATAATGGTGTTGGAGATCAGGGGGTCCCAGATCCTAATGATGGAACCATAACTCCCAGCCACAAATGTGAGTTTCAATTTAGTTATCAGACTAGACAGAGTTTTGCAGAGGAGCAGAACCTTGCTCTCAGGACCCTAAGGCTTGTGGAGGAATTTTTTTTTTTTTTTTTTTGCGGCTGGCCACTATGGGGATCCATACCCTTGACCTTGGTGTGTTATAACACCATGCTCTAACCAACTGAGCTAACCAGCCAGCCCACTGAAGAGGATTCTGAAAAGATGGAAGGCTCTTAGGATCTCAAGCTGAACGGGAACTTGGGCAGAAAATACCTAACCAGGGATCCGGTCAACAGAAGCAAGAACAGAGTCTGAGAGAAGAGACCACATATGCTAACAATGTAAGGAAAGGGTCCATGTGGACTACTTCACCACAGTCTTCACAGCACCTGGCACATAGTAGGTACTCAGTACACATTTGCTGAATGAATGAATGAATGAATGAATGAATGGGTTGGTTTTCCACGTGGTGGTCTGGACCCAGCAGCCAAGTGGCTTTGTTACTAATGGACTGGGTCTTTAGCTTTGCATCCCTGGCCTCACCCTGGGGGCCAAAATGGTATCTGGTTGATGAACAGTGTCTGGAAAACAGGAGCAGTAGCTGCAATATGGTCCCAATATTCTGATGACATTTACTCAGCAGCAACTGAATGAAAAGTGTTGCAACAAATGAAAGGTTCTTGCCTTGTGGGCTTGCAGCATAAATGACAGAAAACAAAACAAGCAACTGGCAGCTTTTCTGTGTGTCTGTTTCTTGTGTTAAGGCACAGAAAAGCACCACCACCTTGGATTTATAACAAGAGCAGTAGGACTGATTATTTCCCATTTTATAGACAAGTAATTGGAAATTTAGACACAAAGACTTGCCCAATGTGCAGAATTGTGTTAATAGCCTAGCCTGAAGCATCCATCTTCTCTCTTTGTGCTCTGTCCAGCGGGTTGCCACTCCATCCAATTCAGGCTCAGGCTGGATAGAGGCATTTGCCTCACGTTTCCATACTAGTGATGTCAAGGCACAGCCTGAGCCTCCAGTTGGGAAAACGTCCTTGGAACAGAGGGAGTTTTAAGAACTTTGAAAGAGGGAAGATTGCAAGTGGACGAGTGGGCCAGGGGACATGGCCCCCCAGTGCTGGACCTTGAACCCCACTGTCCTTGCCCCCAAGGACAGAGATAAATGGTGGTTACTAGGGCTGAGGTAACTGCTCCACATTTTTCTCATAGTCTCTCTTTAGAATCTTTCTTGGCACAGGCCTTTTTGCTTTTTTTTTTCTGGTATTGCCACTGTTTGCAGTTTCCTGGCTTTTGCTTAGATATGGTGATTCCTTGGGGAAGAGCTCCAGCTGCTGGGGGACACTGACAAGTGGCATCTTTTCAGCTTTTCTCCCTATTGGCAGGGATGCCCCTAGCCAAGCAGAGCAAGTAATTGATGTTTGGAACCCTTACCCTCAAAGCACTGGGAGTTTCCATGTGACTTTCCACCCTGGCTGGCCCTTGCACAGATTCTGCTCTGACCTCTTCCCCTTCACTCCCCAAATTAGTATTCCAGGTGCTCCCCCACGCAGGGTCCTTCCAGAGATATAAAGCTGCACCTCAATTGCTCACAGACTGAGGATCTCTAGAGATGGAATTTCAGGGAATAGCTTGAGACATTTTTGGCAACTGGTCCCTGATACTTCAGCACAATAATTGCTGCCTACTCACCAAGCCCAGACCCACTGCCTCCTTACCGGTTGACAGAGCTGGGGTGGGAGTAAGGATCTCTGAATCCTTTCTTCCTACTTGAGAGCCCAAACTCCAGGCTATCCAAGTTAAAAATGCCTGGGGACCAATGATCATTGTTCATTTAGCCTGGGGTGTGAGAAACTCCTCCGAGGTCGCAACACCTCTGTGAACCCCTGGGAGAGAGGGACGGGTGGGCATCAGTGTCACCCACTTCTTTTGGGAGCCTCTTAGGCTCTCAGATCCTCAGCCCAGAGCCTTCTGGCTATAGAGACTCGGTCAACATCCAATCATAACCAGCTGCCGGTCTTTATCTGCAGCCCTCCCGGGACCGACAACCCAGTGAGATCGTGTATGGAGTTGTAATATTTCTTGTTTTTTTCGGGGATGGCGAGAGCTACTTAGAAGAAAGGGTGAAAGACTGAAAGGCGGTTTAATGGCTCCTTTCTGCGTGGCCGGTCTGCATTTCCTGGTTTTGGAGGCAGCCTCGAGTGTTCCCAGGTTTAAAGATAGGGGGCAGCATAGCCCCCAGCCACCGGATCGGGAGAAAAGATTACCAGGAACGCGGCTGTAGTGCGGGGGTAATCGGGTTTCCCGGGCCCGGGGAGAGTGGCGCGTGCGCAGTCCGCTAGACTTCGCCGTGAAGGGGGCTCAGCGGAGCGATCGGCAACTTTCCGGTCCTTTAAAGAAACAGCCACACACCTGCGAGCAGCCCACGTGTATTTAAATTTTAACTCAAGCCGGGTCTTTTTGAAGTCCCGCCTCTTGAGAGTTCCGCCCCAAATCAGTACCCACTTCTGCGCTCAGTCCTAGGAAGCCACATCCACTAGATATCACCCGCGCTAGAAGCGCCCCCAGGGTGCCCGTAAGCCCCGCCCCCGAGGCCCGCCCAGTCCTGCCCACGGCGCGGAGGGGGCGCACTCAGCAGTCCCTGTTGAGCACGCGGCAGGAGCAGACGCTGCGGAAGAAGCGGCACTGGCAGGAGGCGCACGGGTCGCAGCAGGCGGGCGCCGGCGGCTTGCAGCTCTTACGGGTGGCCACGCAGGGCGAGGGTGGCGGGGACCGGGGCCGCGCCACCTTCTTCATCGGAGCCTTCTTCTGCGGGGAAAACGCGGGGGCTGCCCGAGCCGGCTACGCCCTCCCACCCGTCATCTTCACCTCTGCCTGGGAACTCCTCCTGCTGCGGAGGCCTGGGACAGACACCGCCGCCCAGCTGCCCAACGCCCGCTCGACTCGTGCCCACAGAGCACCCCAGCGGGTGCCCGCCCGCTCCCCAAGTCAGGTCCTCCCCTACCATCCCCACTCAAACTTACCTGGCCCTCTTCTCTCCCTGGGCGACTCCACTCAGCTCCACAGCTTTTAAACTACCATCTGGATCTTCCCTTTTTCAGCCTATCCCCAATCCCTGTCAGTTCTGCCTTCATCATAGAGCCGGAGTCCACCCACGTCTCCACCCCACCGCCGCTGCCCTGGGCCAGGCCACTATCTTCTCCCTTATGTCGCTCTGACCCTCTTACAGTGCCCCAAAGGTACCTCTCCGAAGACCTGTGATCGCATCCCACCCAGGCAAAGCCCCCCAGTGGTTTCTCTTTGCACTTAGAATGAAACATAAACTTTCTTTTGGCCCTAGCCCACCTCTCCGACCTGTCTTCACAGGCCACTGGCTGGCCTCCTTTCTGTGCACCGAACACAGCAAATGAGTTTCTAACAAAACTTTACTGTTTGTTAGGACTGTATTTCGGTTTGTACCACAGTTTGTTAGGACTGTATTTCACTTTGTTAAAAATTTAGCATTGGAATTGAGATGTGCTGTAAGTGTAAACTATGCACCAGATTTCAAAGATTTAGCACAACAAAAAGACTGTAAGATATTTCAATAACTGTTAAAATTGATTACACGTTGAAATGTTCACATTCTGAATATATTGGGTTAAATATTATTAAAATGAATTGTACCTGTTTCTTTTTACTTTTTAAAAACGTAACTACTAGAAAATTTAAAATTACGTATGTGACTCATATTGTACTTCTGTTAGACATTGCTGCTCGAGATTACGGAGTTTTTCAGTCTTTATTTAAATGCTGCTTCCGTTGGGAGGCCTTCCTTGACCACTCTTCCCTTCACTCTGTCTCATTATTGTGCTTCAATTTCTTCACAGACTTTACCATCTGAATTTATTTACCTATTTACTGATGTACTCGCTGTTCACCTGTTTTCCCCACACGAATGCAAACTCCATGAGAGCAGGGATATATCTTTCTTGTTCATTACTACTGTAAACACACGCTAATATATTGGTCGGTTATATATTATTATCTGGCAATCATCTGATCTGCTTGTTCACTTCACGGCCAATGAAACAGGCCCAGAGAGGAGCAGGGACTTTCTCAAGATCACACAGTGCCAAGGTCCTGCCTCCAAATACCTAGCCCATTTCCCCCTGCTCTGTTTACAGTTGATCCGATAAACTGAGGCACACTAAGACAGAAATAATGTGCGCATTTCAACAATGCCTTCATCCAGTATATTCCAAAGTGTGGGAATCTGTATCATGGTGGTATGATTTTAGGTGGTACGTGAATCTTAAATTACTATGAATCACATAGTGAAAAAGGATTCTTTTTTCAATCTCTTTCAAATTGAAAGGTTCAGTTTTGTGCCAATGTCCTTAATGCCTCTCCAACACTTTTTTTTTTTTTTTTTTTTTTTTAAAGATGACCGGTAAGGGGATCTTAACCCTTGGCTTGGTGTTGTCAGCACCACGCTCACCCAGTGAGCTAACCAGCCATCCCTATATGGGATCCGAACGCGCGGCCCTGGCGTTATCAGCACCACTCTCCCGAGTGAGCCACAGGCTGGCTCCTCTCCAACACTTTTTTTTTTTTTTTAAAGATGACCGGTAAGGGGATCTTAACCCTTGGCTTGGTGTTGTCAGCACCACGCTCACCCAGTGAGCTAACCAGCCATCCCTATATGGGATCCGAACGCGCGGCCTTGGTGTTATCAGCACCACTCTCCCGAGTGAGCCACAGGCTGGCTCCTCTCCAACACTTTCTAATCTGTCTTTTAACACAGAGAGAAGGCCTCAGATTTAGCTTTCAACAGGCAATACCATCTAGCTAGAATGCACTAACAATGTTTTACTTTTCATTTTACTTAGTTACCTTCTATTTATGGCAAGAGATACTGGCTTTCTATTATAGTCATATGTATTTTTAAGTTTTAATTTTAAATAAATACATTAAATAAGTGAAATTCAGATATGGCAAAACTTGTAAAAGTGATTCTGAAATGGCCGAGGGTTAGGAAACATTGCATTCATGCAAAAGAATGAGTGATGGTGAAATTTCAAGCAGGTGGATAACTAGTATAGGAAGCTGCTTTTCAGCAGGTAAGCTATTTTGCTCAGTCAACTTCGGCTCCCTGGGCTTCTGTGGGGGTCTGGCTCAGGGCTCTAGGCCAGGAAGCCTTTAAGTAGCTTTCAGTTTCTTTTGTTAATGTAGGCCTGGAAAACCTTTTAATTACTTCCCAGACAGAGCTTGGGACCCCCAGCTCTGGCTGGGAACTAATTTAAAGACTTTCTTCCCCCTTTAAGTCCAATCCCACCCCCACAGTGAAATCTCCCAGGCCTACCTTAGATCTCTTCTTCTTTCCTGCTTCTTTTCTGCGGATATTTTCGGGTTTCTTTTTCAGCTCTTCAAAGAGAGACAGAAGGAGCAAAGCCAGATGTTTCTGAGGGCAGCAAAGTGGGAAGAGCAGCAGGGGTTCTGGACCATCTCAGGGTGGGGGAGAGAAGGAGGGGTTGGCTGGATGAATCAGATGGTGGGACTCAGGCCAGCAGGTTCTTGTTAGCCTGGCTGCTGATCTGGAGCCAGGGACTGACAGTGAAGTCCTTTGAGGAAAGGCAAACAGGAAATTCAAGGAGGCCCTGGAATTTGCCTGTGGCATCCATGAGGGGCCTCGTTCCTTGACCTAGTTGGCTCAGCGACACTCAGAGCTACCTCAGATGCTCCTTCTTTAGTGTCCAGTCTGGCAGGCACAAGAACATTGTGATACTCTGAAAATGGGCTTGGTGTCTTGTATATGTGATGGAGTTTGGATGTGTTGTCCCCACCAAAACTCATATGGAAATCTGATCCCCAATGTGGCAGTGCTGGAAGCTGTTTGAGTCATGGGGGTGGATCCCTCATGAATGGATTAGTGCTCTCCCTAGGTAGCACTAGGTAACAATTGATTTCTCACTCAATTAGTTCCCACGAGAGCTGGTTGTTTATAGAACCCTGGCACCTCCCTTGCTCTCTTGCTTCCTCTTGCTATGTGATCTGCTTGTACCTGCTGCTTTCCACTATGAGTAGAAACAGCTTGGGGCCCGTGCCAGGTGCAGCTGTCCCAGAATCGTAAGCCAAATAAACCTCTGTTCCTTATGAATTACCCTGTCTCAGGTATTTCTGCCGTAGCAACACAAGATGGACTGATACAATATGGATGCACCTGTGTTTCCTGTGTTCCTATTTTCCATTTCTCAGAGATTTGGAGCTAGGGAAACCTGATTTGAATCCTGACTCTGTATAACAGCTGTGTGGCCTTGAGTAACCTACGTAACCTCCTTTGAGACTCGGTTTTCTCATCTGCAAAAAAGTGTTCTGTAATACCTACCTTGCAGGGTTGTCTTGAGGATAAATGAGACATGTTTATAAAGTGAAAAGTCTGGCACATTGAAGGTGATCAGTGAATGTTCATGTTCCCACCCTTCCCTGATATGTCCAGAATATCCTCTTTTCCTAGTGAGAGGCAAGACAGTAAAGGATATTTGTTTTGGGTTTAGGTTCTGGAGTTAAGTACCTGAGTTTGAATTCTTGCTCTACCAGTTAGGAACTGTGTGATCTTATGCTAGTTACCTAACTGTCCTGGGGCACTATTTCCTCAACTGTGAAATATGAATAAAAACAGTACTCACCTCACAGTGCCTAGCACATAGTATGTCTGTTAAACCAGAAGATCTCCAATGCTAGGCTCTAATGCCCATTATATTTTTCTCTGAGCAGTTATTATCAACCCTGGCATGACAGGACTGCTTCATCCCAGACTTGGTTATATTCTGCAGCATTTCTGAAAGTTTGTTACCATTGATAGGAGTTCTGTGATTCAATAAGTTTCAGAAATGCTAACTTAAACCAAGTTCACCAAGCCCTTGACTTCAGGCTTTCTCAGAGCCTCTAAGATGCTAAGCTGCATATTAGATTGGTGTATACAGAGCTTCCCTATAATAATGAGTCAAGGGACACTTTATTTCCCCAGGATTATTTCGTAGAATGTGCAAGGAGGAGCTGTGACCACGGCAGTGGATCCTGGTAGCAGCCTAGGAAGCAGCCTTGACATCCTGCAGCCCCCTCTCATGGGCCAGAGCCCAGAGACTGGGCCTCAGGTCAGGATACTCACCCTTGATAGAGATAGAAAAGGAATCCAGTAGGTTTATGGAGGAGTTGCTCCTCAGACTCATGTCATCTCTGGGCTTCTCCTCAGGTGGCAGGTGGCTGTAGGCAGTGAGAAAGCACAGGAAGACCAGCAGGATAGCCAGGAATAGGCGGGTGACATCCATCCTGGGAGGACTGAGTGGGACAGAGAAGGCGGTCAGGTGGGCATGCTAGGGGTAGTAGGAAGAGGCTATGCTTTCCTGCTTTGTGTTTCTTTGGGCTGGTGTTCTGACTGTTGCACAAGTGTCCCAGTGGAACTGGAGGACTATAGCAAGGCTTAGGACAGGGAAGAACTGATGTAGGAAGAAGAGAGAAAAGGAGAGATGGGGAGAGGAAGTGGGAATGACAAGAAGGGAGGGAGATGAAGCAAAGAGAAAAGGAATGTATTGCCTTGGTCTCTGCTGTCCAGAGGATGGGGTACCGAATGGCTGGCACTATTCAAATTGCCCCTCTCCTGCCTCATTCACTCACACAGTACATACAGTTGACTTTGCATAGATTAGATATGTGCATGAGCTGGCTCCATTGTGCTCTCTACCTTTGTCCAGTGACCATCTTTCCCAGTGAAGGATTTTGGTCTCCATCTTTGACTCTTTTTCCCCAATCTTATTTTATTTTATTTTTTTTGGCAGCTGGCTGGTATGGGGGATCTGAACCCTTGACCTTGGTGTGATAACACTATGTTCTAACTGACTGAGCTAACTGGCCAGCCTTTTCCACATCTTTTTATCTTATCTCTCACCAAGAGATCTTTATATCTTATCTCTTACCAAGTTTTACTTTATGTTTCCTTCACCTGGTGAATCCAGATCTGTCGACCACAGAACCTGCATTCTTTCAGCTACAGCCCAGGGTTTAATTTTTTAAAACTGTTCTCCGGTTAGAACTATAAAACTGGACTGAGTCTGGGAAGGGTGAAGTCTCAGTGCGAATCTTATTTGGGTATTGGGAGATGGCTAAGAAGCAGTATTCCTTACACCAACAGTGGGGGGATACTTATATTCCAAATGTAATACAGGTGCTTAATACCTAGTTGTATTAAAACCCTTGGGGTCAGATGTTTTTTAGAATTCAGAATTTTGTGGATTTTGGAAAAACAATGTCATCCGTATATCATATTAGACCACGTATAAAGGGTCTATAAAGGGAGTCGTCCATAATAAAAATATTGATGCTTCCACAGCCAAAAGATATGAATATTCAGTATAAACAGGATAAATAAAGACTACGAATTGACTCACTGGATAGGTTTCAAATGATTTCAGATAAGGTCAGATTTTTCTGCCAAATGAGTTACCAAAGTAGGGGAAAACTAATAATTTTTAGTTTTGGGATTTTGCAATTACAGGTACCAGGTTTATGGACCTGTACTAACCCACATTGCTGTTACCACTGACAAGAGAAACAACACACGCACATTGCTATTAATACAGGATAATATAGGACTGCATGAGTCAATACAGAGTATGAGGCACAAACTAGAAACTTAATAAAGAATCACTTAAAGAATGAAAGAATTTTAGGACTCTTCTATTCCAAAGTTCTATGAATCCCATCTTAGTCCATTCAGGCTGCTATAATAAAATACTATAGACCAGGTGGCTTATAAACAATAGAAATTTATTTCTCACGGTTTTGGAGGCTGGAAGTCCAAGACCAAAGTGCAGGCAGGTTCAGTATCTAGTGATGGCCACTCCCTCTTAGACAGTTGTCTTCCCACTCTAACCTCACAAGGTAGAAGGGGTCTCCTCAGACCTCTTTTTTAAGGGCATTAATCCCATTCATGAGGGCTCTGCCTCTATAACTTAGTCACTTCCCAAACGTCTCACCTCCAAATATCATCACTTTGGGGGTGAGGATTTCAACATGAATTTCGGAGGTCATAAACATTTAGACAATAGCAAATCCCTGATTTCTGAGATTGGACTAGATCAGGCACATTCAGGGTGGTATGGCCGTAGACAAATCCCTAATTTCTGATTCTTGCCCCGCTCCTCATGCCCCCGTCATTGTCCCACTGGGGCAGGTTAAACAGTTACACAAAGAAATATTTTATAGGGCCAGCCCGTGGCTCACTTCGGAGAGTGTGGTGCTGACAACACCAAGTCAAGGGTTAAGATCCCCTTACCGGTCATCTTTTGAAAAAAAAAAAAAAAAGAAAAGAAATATTTTATAAAGGCCACTTACTGTGTATCCTTAAGAGTTGAGGAATTTACAAATTCATGAATGTGACTGAATCTAAGTTCTGTAAAAGAGGTCATAGAAAGTCATGGCTAAATACAACTGTCTTATGTACCCTAGGAGTCTTGTTGATGTGTGTGTATGCATGTGTGTGTGTGCTTGTGCACACATGCATGATAATGTTTAAGGATTCTGACTGAGGGAATATGGGAGACAACAGTGTCCAGATCATCCATGGGTAGGGTACACTCAGAACACTTAGCATTCCTTTAGCTGTGGCACTGTGGATAGCTTGATATCTTAATCCTTTTTAGTCAGAGCCTTGGTCCCTCAAACAGAGGAAAGGATTACAATCTCCCACTGATGAGCCAGAGGTATGATGAGAGATGGGAACTGAAAAGGAGGTGAAGGCAGTAGAGTCTTCTTAAAGATAGTGAACGGCATCAGCTGTTGACCACACTAGGTGTTAATGGGGCACAGCCCTGACAGCCTGCCCTGAGCTTTTCTGGTGGCACCCGTGAGGGCAGTCAGGGTGTCTGGGCAGCCAGAAAGCTGGCACTATGGAGGAGGTGACTGGGCTTAGTTGGATGTAATAGTGGCTTCCACCAGCCCTGCCAAGTGCTAATGGCCAGGGACCTGGGGTTCTGAGTGAAGCTCATCCCTGTGGAAAAGAGTGGTTAGAAGCCAAGAAGTGTTTGGTTGGGGCCCAACATGGAGAAGTAGCTGTAGACTTCAGCAGACTCATTCAGGTTAGTGGTGATGAAGGCAGGCTTATTAGCCTTTTGGCACAAAGCATATAGTTGGATAGAAAAAAAAAGGATAGCAAGAGGGAATTCTTGACCTTGAAATTGCTTGCAAAACTTTGTGCACATGTGATTTTTTTCAGGGGAAAGGGTCCATAGCTTTCTCTGCATCCAGAAGGGGGTCTCTGGCCCCTAAAAATCTCAGAACCATTCAGCTTCTCGAAGCTAAAATGGAGACCCCTCTTTGTATATGTTTCTGCAGCCTGAGTAGGGCTTGTCCAGAATCACAGACACATGAGGGCAGGGGATGTGATTGCTTATTTTCAGTTCATTCAATCAGTCTATTCTATAATGGGGAAAGTGTCTTGTTGGAAGGGGTGTGTCATTCTAGATTGGTACTAGTATAGAATATATTAAAGAAATATAACATTGAAACAAATTGAAGAATATAAACAGTGTGATCCTATTTTGTGAACAAATATCAGAACATCCTCAAATATGTACATGCTTGCATATGCAAAGAAAAAAGCCTGGAAGGATAAACATTATAATTTTAATAGTGATTATTCCTTAGGACTGGAATTGAGAATGGGGAGTAAAGTAGAAATATGTACCTTTTACTTTATGTACTTCTGTATTTGAATTTTTCTTATAAGCATGTCATTACTTTGTAATAAAAAACAAAGAATAATAGAAATAAAATACTGGGGGCCCGGCCCGGTGGCGCACTGGATGGTGCGCCGCTTGGGAAGCGCGGCGGCGCTCCCGTCCGAGGGTGCGGATCCCTCATACAGACCGGCTCCTGCTCACTGGCTGAGCGAGGCGCGGGAGCAACGCCGAGGCTTGCAATCCCGTTGCCGGTCCCTGGTCCGGGACGGGGGCAACACTGAGGGTTGCGATCCGTTGCCGGACACGGAAAAAAGACAAAAAAAAAAAAAAAAAAATAGAAAAAAAATCCTGGGGGCCCGGCCCGGTGGCGCACTGGATGGTGCGCCGCTTGGGAAGCGCGGCGGCGCTCCCGTCCGAGGGTGCGGATCCCTCATACAGACCGGCTCCTGCTCACTGGCTGAGCGAGGCGCGGGAGCAACGCCGAGGCTTGCAATCCCGTTGCCGGTCCCTGGTCCGGGACGGGGGCAACACTGAGGGTTGCGATCCGTTGCCGGACACGGAAAAAAGACAAAAAAAAAGAAATAAAATACTGGATGCTACTTGACGTATCCTCAAAGGATTTAAAGAAGCTGGAGAGTCATATTTGAATTGTGAAAATGAGGCTGGGGAATTTGTGGGACCCTCCTCTCCCCTTGTACTTCAAATTCAGGGTAGTTTTCTCTCAGCTCCTATTGGTCTCTCATCAAAATGCAGGACTTTCTTATGTTTTGGGACTAGCTGTCCCAAATTCTGAGGGGCAGGGCCCAGAAAGGAACTGTCTCTCTTTCGTATTTATCTAGATTGCACACCAGATGTTCAGCAGCTGCATGGGGATCCCTCTCCTCCACTCTTTCTCTGCGCCCCCATCTTTCACCCAGCCGAGCAGAGGCAAGAGTCTGGTGTAGGAGGTTTCATGAAGACCTGTTAATGTTCATTCAGGTTCGTCAGTGACATCTGCTAGTAAATTAATTTCTGGGATCACATGAGGTTGGCAATATATTTGATCTACTTAGTTTTGTCCTAAAATAACCAATCAATCAACAAATATTTTTCAAATGCTATGGGAAACCTCACCTCATGGTCTCCTTCTGGGGGAGTTAATTATTCTCTCTTCCCTAAACACATTGTATTGTAATTATTTGTTCATTTGTCTGTCTCTTCGAGACTGAGGACTCTTTCTAGGGCAGAGCCTTGCCTTATTCATGTCCATATCCACCCCTTCTCCTCCACCCACTGGCTTGGTGCCAAGCACTGTGCTTAACACACAAAAATGGCTTTCTGTTCTGCAGGGAAGAGAGACAAGTAACTAACAAAGAAAGGAGGAGAGAAGTGCTAGAGTTGAGGTACAAGTGAAATAAATGTCTTGGATGTGAAGAAGAAAGAGGTGGTTAAACATTACAGGGTCTTGGAGGATTTTGTGAATTATTCTCAAGCAAGGATCTCTATAATTTCCTTATCCTCCTTCCAATTTTGGTCTGCAGCTCGTGGAGTGCAACAGCTCACCTCTTTGTGGCTCCTGCCAGGTCCTCCCTCTGTCACATAGTTCTATGTGG